GGGCGCGGGCATCGGGCACGGGCGAGGACTGGAGGACCCCGGGCGCGCTCGGGAGGGACGGGGACGCGAAGGCGGCGCCCGGCCGAGGGGGCTTCCTCACCCGCCGGGCCCACTCCTGACCCCCGGCCTCGGGGCCCTCCGCGTGCGACCGGTCTCAGTCCCTGAGGACTGCCGCCCTCTTGCCCTGTGCGCCTGCGTGGGGAGGTTCTTCTCCCTTCTGCAAAATGGACAGGGGCCTGCAGAAACCCGGGGTGGGGGGTGGGGAGAGGTTGGCCCGGAAACTGCCAGGTACATCATTCTCTCTCTCTCTCTCTCTGTGTGTGTGTGTGTGTGTGTGTGTAGGTTTGCCCCTTCCTGCAAGGCAAGCCACTCTGCCCCCATTTTGCCAATGGGGAGGGGGAGTCTGAGTCTGAAAGGGGTTCTCTCAAAGCCCCCCACCACCACCACCACTGCCGCCCACGCAGGGTGTGTCCTTGGCGGAGGCCTTTGCAACGGAGGGCTCCCGCCTTGGTGCAGGAAGTCCAGGGCTCCCCCCTGCCCGGCTGAGGCATTTTGTTCTTGTTTGGCAGACGCTGGAGAGGACCCTGCTGGTCTCTGCGGAAGGCAAAGGCCTTTCCCTCCAGGGTGCCTGCGAAGGCTCGCCACCCACCCGCTTGCCAGCTCGGATCCGAGAAATCATCACCAAGAACCTGGCCGAAGGTGACAGGCGGGGTGGGGGTGGGGGGAAGATGCATCTCTCCTGCCCCCCCCCCGCCCAGGTGGGGGGGGGCGGTGGTGTCACGGTGGCTGGGCGTGAGGTCTGCAGTGGCTCAAGCACGGCCTCCCTGGTGTGGGGCGCCTGTCCCCGCTGGGGGCAGTTCTGGAGGCCCTAGGCAAAAGAGGCTCCAGCGGGCAAGGGGGCGGAAGGCCAAGGAAGCCTGTGCAGGTGAGTGCGGGTGGCGGGGAGAGGCCAGCCGTGGCTCTGGTTTGGCTTCTGTCAGCAGCCCTGAGCTATTGCTCTCGGGGG